AATGGGTGGCAGTCCCTTGTGGGCCCTTTAAAAACTTGTGTTTGCAGGGCTGGGGATTTAGCTCAGTGGTTCCACCACCTGCCTCAAAAGCACAAGGTCCGGAGTTCGATCCCTGGTACCAAAAAACAAACAGCAGGCAGATGTGGTGGTGCAGACCTATAATCCCAACACTTTGAGAGACTGAGGCACAAGAATTGTACATTTAAGCATTTAGGCAACTCAGCAACTTAGTAAGCATCTCCAAGGGAGGCTCTGGGTAAGTGCAGCTTAGTGTAAAGGCCTTAGGTAACCCCAGCCCCCAGTAACCCCTCCCTGCAAATGTATGATTTGCTGTTGTTTTTCCTCTAGATTTGTAGGAGCAGAGCTGATCTTCCATGGCCAGGGAGTGAAATGTCCTGGGCTGTTCCCTAGGGACCCTGCAGGTTCTTTTGAGCCACCAGGATTAGAAAGGAACTGTCACTTTTTTTTTTTTTTTTTTCCATTCTTAGAGAAGCCAGCAGCTTGACACTGGTGACATCGAAAACCTGTGCAATCAGTCTAAGCCTGAGTTTGAGACTGGTGGTCAAGGGCTGTATGGGTTGTATGTGGGAGAGGCCTGACTGCTTTCTCCAGGGAATTCTGCCCCTGAGTTTTATAGCTGGAGTTATATGCAGAAGGTAACATTTTCACCCTACAAGATAAGAGGTGTCAGGGACTTTCCAGGACTGAGAAACAAGTCTGATGAGATTCGGACGAGAGCCCTGCATTCCCTGCTTCTGCTTCAGCCTCCCTCAGCAGTGAGGGGGGCACAGTTTGCCTCTGCACCAATGTCAGGCACCTTCCAGAGTCAGCCCTACCCTTGCAGGAAGGAAAGGGATCCTGCGGTGAGTGCCGGCCCACCCGGTGCTGGGTGATTAATCAGATTCAGAAAGCAGCGCTTTCCATGCTCTCAATTTCGGCTTTGGAGAACTGCACCATTTTCCAGCGGCTTCTCTGTGCTTTGATGCTTCAGAGGTGGTCACTTGCCTTAGAGCTGTGTGGGCTGCAGAGGAGAGCCTGGCCCCGTGCACTAGAGGGCTCATTTTCCTGACTCCAGAATCTCCTCCCCTCACAAAGGACCTCAGGCCAGCGGTTCCTCATGCTCTCCTTGCACCCGTCCAGACTCAGAATCCCTCACATGTCTGGGCCTCACAGAGCCCTCTCAGTGCAACCGTGCCCAGCTGATGTGTCCTGCCAGTGTCACAGCTTAGCCAGCCAGATCAACATGCAGGACTCTGGGGCCATTTTTGCACTTTCTGTACGAGGTAAACCACTCGGGAACTGAAAGCTACAGAAGAAGTAGACGTTTAGTTGGCAGAAAGAAATGCTACCGCCTCTCTCTGTCTCCCTGACGGGTGGCTTTGTTGTTTTCAGTTGGGGTCAACTTGTTCTATTTCTGCATCATCATTTACCTATATGGGGACCTGGCCATCTATGCCGCAGCTGTGCCCTTCTCCCTCATGCAGGTGACCTGGTGAGTGTCCCCATCAGCCCACTGAGTCTCCCCAGCCAGCAGGGGCAGTGGCCGTCAGAGAAGCTCGGGGCCGAGCAGGTCCATGGCACTGGAGAAGGATAGATCCCCGAGGCCCTCCACCATGGTGCCATAGCCAGCTCTGCCCTCTGTCCCCTCCCTGGCCCTTTGGGAAGATGGCACGGATGCCCCCAAGGGCCCCTGAGTCACTGGGGACAAGTGGGGCGCACGCTGAAAGATGGTTTACGCAGAGTCAGACTGTGGAGAGGGGCAGTGTCTGTCTCCTCGCAAAACCACGGTGGGTATTTCAAACCAAACCTGAGCCTGGTGGTATTCTCCCAGCAGTGCCTCTGGCAATGACTCCTGCGGTGTGGAAGCAGACACCAAGTACAACGACACTGACCGGTGCTGGGGTCCCCTGCGCCGAGTGGACACCTACCGCATCTACCTGGTGAGTGTCCTGGGTGGCCGAGGGCTCTGAACCACCCACACATCCCCATACGGTGGCTGAAGCGTAGGGCCTTGGCTTCAGCATAAATAAGATGGATCATGTCACTGAGACTCCAGCCCCAGAGTGTCCAGAGGACCAGGCCTCAAGTTAGACGTGGTTTGGAGTTGGTGTCCAGGTCCTTGCCAGCTCCGGGGCCGTGAACTCTCGCAGACTTAGCTCAGGGTTTGAGGGGTGCTCTTTGCAAAGTCCTTTGAGAGTCCCAGATCTCACGCTTCAGGCTTTCCATGCTTTGATCTTACTCTGCACCAGCCCAGAGTAGCCCAGGCAGAAGCTGGGTCTCCTGACCGATCCGTCTCAGGGTTCACCCTGACCACAGTCAGGCTCTGCAGACAGGGAATGCTCAGCGCAGCCATCCCCCTGCCTGCCTGCCTCCCAGTGGACAGGGGAGGAAGATGAATCTCCAGGCTCCTTGATTGCTTCAGGCCATGGTGCAGGGAGGTGGGGACTGAACGATGTGCCAGTCAGGCCTCTGGTAATAAGACACGGACCAGAGGCAGCTATTTATCTCTGCCTGCTTCGTGGGTGGGGCTCACAAATGTTTCCCTTCAGCTTTTGCAGCATCTGTTAATATTCTCTGCTTTGGTTCTCCTCAGCCCTGATTCAGGTGTGCTAGGTGACCAGTTTGCCATGTGCACACTTAGCGATTTAAGGGGAAGGCAGGGACTGGGAGAGAGGCCAACCTTTCAGGCAGTAGCCTCCTTACTCTGTCATCCCAGTCCTGGCAGAGACCTCCACAGGCCCTGTCGGCTTTGTTTGTTAACCCCAAGGGCTGCTGGACGATTTTTTTGTGCGCGCCTGATCCGGATTCACAGCCCTATGAAAGAAGCCCTGTGGCATAGACCCCAGGAACCATGTCTTAGCTGCATCGTAGGAGCAGTTGGCCAGTGATCTGTGTTTCCCTCTTGCACATCCAGCCACAGCTGAGAATTTGTCTTGTCCTAGAACTGGGTCTCTGACCCTCCCGTGGCAGGTCTGGTGGGAATGTGGCACAGCTCAGACTGTCCGGTACCCTGCTCCACCTCCCCAGCCTTCAGGGTGGCACAGGAACCAGCATGGCAGCCCGGAGAGCAGAGGGGCTGAGGCCTTGTTGACCTCTTAGCATTTCAACACACTGTGATTGATGAAATTAGCCAATGTATCCGTAAGTGTATCTGTAAATGTAAGGCCCTCCCAGGTCTCTCCTCCCCTTCATTACAGGCAGGGACAGGAGAGGGAGGGAGGAATCTGAGAGGCTCCAGAGAGGAGCAACAGCAGCCGAGCCACTCAGGGGTCTTTGTGGGGAGACCAGGGGGTCTGCAGCCCCTGCCTGGCATGCTCCCCTGCCCGGCACGCTCCCCTGCCCGCCAGCAGAATGGAGACTGAGCACTGCAAGTATCAGCTGCTGTCATTCGCTTGGTAAATTATTCAGAAGCATTATTATTGCCTTGTTAAATTGTGCCTTCACTTATTCCTATAAACCTTCCTCATGATGGAAGCCTCCCTCCCCCAGTCTCAATAATTCTGACCAAACAGGAGGAAGCCCTCAGGAAGGCAGACGGGCATTAATTACTGCCTTCACCTCCCAGATATTGCACGTATAACTCATGCAGCTAATTGTTTTAGTGCCTGTGAACGCTCCAGACCTGGAGGGATCTGGAGCTACAGAAAAGGAGCAAGAAGGCTAGCAGCCTCTCGGGAGGCTGCCCTCCGAGCCGTTACTCCCCTCACCCCGTTGCTGCCCTCACTCCTTTCCACTGCAGGGCTTCTGTCTGCCAGGGCCTTTGGCTTGGTCTGGTCTCCCCTTGCTGTTCTGAGGGACTCAAGTTAGATGGACCTAAGCATGATTTCTAAAGTGGCTTTACAGTTTCGCACATGGCTTCCAGGTGGGTCTTTGGTTTTGCAGAACAGCAGAGCCTCCCGACCCCAAATGCGGAGGCTTGTGTCTCTCTGAAGCGCCACCCTCCTTTAGTGACTTGGAGGGGCAAGGCTGAGGGTTTCCTTCCTCAGACTGGAGCCTGCTTGCAGCTGTGGTCCCCTCCTGAGTCCAGGGAGCTGGATTCCAGCAAGTGGCCTCTTCAGATCCCCAGAGGGGCGCCTTTCTCCTTGCCCCTGGCACCCATCCCTTGTAGAAACTCCACGGTGCCCCTCACCACCAGTGGTGTCTGATTTTGCCAGCGGCCAGGCACTAACCAAACGTTCCAGGCACAGAGCAGGACACAGGTGGGGTGGGTTTCAGGACATTCCCACCCACGTACAGATCATCTCTTTTTCGCCAATGGATTATGCCCCTACCCAGCCTGCATTTTTAGACAGTCCTAGTAATAACCACTTCATTGCTATTCTGTCACAGTATGCTCTGCAGAATAAAGATACCGGCTTTTATATTGTGGCTTAATTTTCAGAAAGTCCTCAGAAGCCATCTCTTCTGTTTCTTCTCAGGAAAGCTCCTGAGAAGCTCACACAGAATAAGAATATCTGAGATATGAACTATCTCTGAGGCTGGCCTGTGTATAGCATTATGATCCCGTCTAGGAAGTGAGCTCTCTGCACCAGCAGCTACCATTTGGCTCCCAGTGCCCTTGACCTTACCGAATGGAAAATTCCTCCTCCTGGCCCCACGTCCTCGTCCACAACCCCTGAGCACAATCCTGTGACTCCCAGCGCAGCTGACATGAGTCAGTTCCTCCTTCCTGTGGTAGCCACAGAGCAGGGTGCTGTGGGCAGAGGCTTCCCTGAATCATTTGCTTCGCGTGCGCTCTCAGGTGTCCCCACAGCTGGAACCAGCAGTGACGGCCCTGCGATTAGGGCCCATGAGGGTTATCAGGATCCGCTTTCCGGTGACCTCACGTTCCAACTGACCTCACGTTCCTGGCTCCCACCCACCCCACCCACTCCATCCCCACCCTGCTCCTTTGAAGAATGAAACGAGAGCCCCAGCTCTTTCAAACAGGTATCGATGCCTCTAGGCCGAGGAGGCGCGTCTTGGGATCCTTTCCACAAAGCTTCTCTTGCTTTGCTAGGGACTGAGTCAGAATTTGGCATTTCATTCCTTCCTGGACTACAGGAGCCGGGGACCCCTGGTGAGGTGGCGGTGGGTGCTGCTGTCCTGGGGTCCGGGCACCGCCTGGCTCTCTTACTACCTTTCCTCATTCCCATAGCACCTCCCCGCCCATCATTCCATCCCTGTGCAGAAAGATCCTTCCCTCCTCCCTCAGGGTGTAGGAGGGAAGCCTTGAGGGGACGGGGACTCCCTGAGTGCTGAAAGCTTTTCACTGTTCAGAAATGTGGTCAGCACCCACCACTTACAGGTGAGCAGCTGCCTGGGTCACCAGCCCAACAGAGTGCAGACGGCAGAGCTGAGCTTATCCTGGCTGGAGACCCGGCCACAAACTAACCATGTTGAGCAGGGGACCCCTCGTCGGCTACCTTGGAATAGAACAAGTTCACCCCGTTTGCTCTCCTGCCTTGGACTCAGGAGTTGGAGCACAGGTGACTCTAAAGAGAGATGCAATCTGCAGGTGGCCGGCGGGCAAGCTCTCATTCTCGGTCCTGCACTCCTGTCACACAGCCCCGTTCAGAGCCACTTCCTGGTGGTGTCGGTTGCCCCAAGGTTCAGGCCCTGTGGTCTCGCTCCATCAAGAGACCGTGCTTCGCGATTCCCCCTTGGCTTCTTCAACTCTGTGACACTGGCCTTGGTCCTTCTGCCACCCTTCAAGGGCATGCAGCCTCCTTCATGAACTGAACAGCAGCTTCTTTCTAAGGGGAAAGCACCCTCTTGGTGAGCGGGTGTGGGAAGGGAGAGCCGTGCCCAGTCGGGATCCAAACACACCGCCCACCTCAGTTCCTCACATGTCGTCGCAGCTCACCAGGAACTTGCTCGTTTCTGGTCTAGGTCTCCCAGCCACATGGCACAGCGCGGCATCATCTCAGTTCACAGCAGGGAAGACAGACTCAGATGGCAGCTTCCCCGTGGCCCCAGCTCTTTGGGCTCTCAGCCCGGCTTGCCTAACACCCAGGTCCGCTCACTCCACTTGTAGGGTGGCCCCGGCAGTGGCACACAGTTGTTGGGTGAGGGGCACCCGTCCGTCCACCCTGGGAGCCTGGCCTTGGCAGGGGGTTGAGGTGACACCGCCCCGGTGTGTGTCCAGCGAGTGATCTGAGCTCGGGCAGCCCACCCTCCGACTGCCATGTCTCATCGCCCCTTACTCCCAGTAGCCAAGTGGACTTTTCCTCTCGCTCAGGTGGGGTTGGCATTGAGTGTTCTTCTCAAGGACATTTCCTTCCTCCGCCTTGGTCTCTGTACTTTCAGCCCCAGCCATTGTGCCCCGGGGCTGTGGCATCGTCTAATAAGTGGGTCACCGCTGCCATCACTTGAATATTTATTCTCGCCTCGTCTGGGACAGGAGGTGGCCTAGAGCCCTTCAAGACCAGTGAAGAGGGAAAATAAGGGGGAGCAACAAGTCTAGGGAGCAGCAGAGACCACAGGATGTGGGGGACCGCAAGATCATGTGTCACACACCCAGGTGGTTTGCTCCAGGGTCGGTGCCCCCAGAGCACAGCCCTGGGAGAAGACAGACGCCCGCCACCAGATATGTGCAGGTCCAGACCCTGGATGGCAGTGGGGCGTGGCAAAGCAGGAAAGGGGTACCCTCGGAAGGACTCGGAGTTATGGGTGAGCCTGCTGGAGACAGAGCGGGACCCTCCACCTGGAGATCAGGCGGTCTGCCGAGCGCTTCCCCTCCTGTCTGACCCCCATGAGTTAGGACTGAGTCCGGCTCCCAGCCAGAACAAGTCAGGAGGGCGTCCTGGTGCCTGGGTGGGGAGGGTGTTACAGGATCTGGGCCATGTGAGTGACACCTTAAAAGTTGGTGACTTTGGGGACTCACTGCCAGGGATGCCCATCTTCTATCCTTTTCTTCTTCCCAGCATGCCCCTGAGGGCTCTGGAAAGTCGGGTGTGTT